CAGCGTAAGTGCACCAGTTGTTTTATGCAAATCAGACAGTGCTGACAAGCGCGCGCATGGTTGTACGGACACATATTGTTTCCTTGGATATCCACCAGGTATTTTTTATAATTTTTTTTTACAACTATCAAAGTTCTATTTGCTAACAATAGATTGTTTTACAAACAAATTTCAACCTTTTATTCTTTTTGAAAAAAAAAAATTAAGACGGCCTTGCATAATTTTAAAATATTTTTTTATCGTAATCTTTCAATTTTTCGAAATAAATTGCGTGTTTGTGAACTCTATTAATACACCCTTAGAGTGTCCCGTGACCTAGATATTTGCTAGATTTGTACCACAGGCGGGGGAAGCCCTCTTCTGATTTGAGTGGTAAATATATCTACAAGTTTCCGGTGGCTGTGCACGTGAACACGGTTAAGTGGACGTCTCGCGTTCAGACGACCACAGGCAAACCGTTGGGGTGATGACAAAAAGGAGGGGGGGGGGCTGTTAGGTGTGTGTATGGTGGGGGAGGGGGGCGCTCAAAGGTCACCTAACAAGGTTAAGTTAGCGATCAGTGACAAATATTCCTTCAATGTTTGACGCTGAAAGTAAAAAAAAAAAGTTCCACGTTACGGTGTGGATGTATCTTGTTGTAGGGCCCTTATGGTTGGCGTCTGACTACAGGTATGTAACGCTGTTTACCTGCTTGCTGCGGGGAGGGGGTGGGGGAGCTTTGGTGAGGATATACACCACAGCAAAGGGCTTTCCGGAAATTATATTTCAAGGTCACCGGTTTTTTAGTTGCGTTGGGTTTTATTTTTTACAGTTTTGCTGTTGTAGCTAGTGTGGATGGGTAAAGTTGTCACGTGTTGTGTCACATCGTTGTACGACTAGGATTGTGACATTTTGTGTCACAAAGTTGTACGACTGGGATTGTGACGTTTTCTGTCATAAAGTTGTACGACTGGGATTGTGACGTTTTGTGTCACAAAGTTGTACGACTGGGATTGTGACGTTTTGTGTCACACCTTTGTGAGTCAAGCCAATGTGTCTCGGCCTTGTAGCCAAGAACGATGAGCTTTTGTTTCGTTTTTCGTAATTTGGCTTATAGTTTGCAGCTTATGGTTGATGGTTGATGGTTGATGGTTAATGGTTGATGGTTGATGGTTGATGGTTGATGGTTGATAGTTGATGGTTGATGGTTGATGGTTGATGGTTGATGGTTGATGGTTGATGGTTGGTGGTTGGTGGTTGATGGTAGATGGTTAATGGTTGATGGTTGATGGTTGGTGGTTGATGGTAGATGGTTAATGGTTGATGGTTGATGGTTGATGGTTGATGGTTTGATGGTTGATGGTTGATGGTTAATGGTTGATGGCTAATGTTTAATGTTTAATGGTTGATGGTTAATGGTTGATGGTTGATGGTTGATGGTTGATGGTTGATGGTTGATGGTTGATGATTAATGGTTGATGGTTAATGTTTGATGGCTAATGTTTAATGGTTGATGGTTGACAGTTGATGGTTGATGGTTGATGGTTGACAGTTGATGGTTGTGGTTGATGGTTGACAGTTGATGGTTGATGGTTGATGGTTGACAGTTGATGGTTGATGGTTGACAGTTGATGGTTGATGGTTGATGGTTGATGTCGTTAGTTGTTGGCAGATAGCTGGTGGCTGATTGGTGATAATTGATGGTTGAAAGGCTAATTACTGATCTTTGATAATTGATGGGTTATGGATTATGGGTTGTAGGAGATGGCTAAGATGATTTTCTTGTCCACATGAAGTATGTGGAAATGTTGTTCTCAGGCCATGCTACCAAAAGAGGCACGATTTCTTGTAGTGAACATTAAGGTAAAATTGCGGTTTTTCAATAACAAAATAGTGCCCAAGGTTTGTAAGTAGGACTTTATTTAATAAGAGGAGTCGCCACGGCCAGTAAGATCAGAGCTAGCCGTGTACTCAGTAGGTCGTTGTACAGCTGTTTGTTAAAAGTAGGTCATTGTACAGCTCTAGGTTAAAAGTAGGTCAATGTTCAGCTGCTTTATGAAAGTAGGTCACCGTACGACTGTTTAGTGACAGTAGGTCATTTAACGGCTGTTTGATGGAAGTAAGTAACTGTACGACTGTTTGATAAAAGTAGGTAACTGTACTGATGTTTAGTGAAAGTAGGTCACTTTTCGATTGATTGATGATAGTGGGTCACCATGCGGTTATTTGGTGAAAATAGGTCACTGTACGACTGTTTGATAAAAGTAGGTTACTATGCGCGACCTTTTGATGAAAGTAGGTTAGTATACGACAGTTTGGTGAAAGTAGGTCATTGTCTGTCCTAAAGTAGGTCATTGTACGACATTCCCACTCTCCACATTCCCACTCCCCACATTGCCACTTCCCACATTCCCACTCCCCACATTTCCACTCCCCACATTCCCACTCCCCACATTCCCACTCCCCACATTCCCACTCCCACATTCCCACTCGCCACATTCCCACTCCCCACATTCCCATTCCCCACATTCCCATTCCCCACATTCCCATTCCCCACATTCCCACTCGCCACATTCCCACTCCCCACATTCCCTCTCGCAACACTTCCCTCGTCAAATCCTCACTTTGTATTTTTCGTCACACATGAACAACCCCTAGGAATTATCTGATGAATTCCGGCTTCCTCATCTTAAACTTATCCGTATTTCTACTGGTTCTACTGTCACGAAGTGTTGATTGTACAAATGAGGTTAGACCTACTGTAAGAATGAGGTTAGACCTACTGCTGCCAAAAGTACCAAGTTGTATGAATGAGGTTAGACCTACTGCTGCCAAAAGTACCAAGTTGTATGAATGAGGTTAGACCTACTGCTCCAGAACTTTAAACAGTGCCAACTTGGTCGAATGAGGAAGTACAAATCTTGTAATTACTTTTGATTGTGACGTCAACGGCAAATAGTCAAGAACTCTAGCCGGTAGAGACATAAGTAGGGCCGTTGGTTAAACCGCTAATAGAGCTGTTGGTTAAACCGCTAGTAGGGCCGTTGGTTAAACCGCTAGTAGGGCCGTTGGTTAAACCGCTAGTAGGGCCGTTGGTTAAACCGCTGATAGGGCCGTTGGTTAAACCGCTAGTAGGGCCGTTGGTTAAACCGCTAGTACAACCTTAGAAGACGAGTTTCGTGATCGATTTAGGCATTTAAAGGTGTAGTCGTAAGTAATGTTTTTGCCTCTAACATACTTCCCATCCAAACCGACATTAATATATATATATATATATATATATATATATATATATATATATATATATATATATATATATATATATATATATATATATATATATATATATATATATATATATATATATATATATATATATATATATATATATATATATATATATGGAGCATAAAACGAATACGCAGTCCGTAATTCAACTCTTAAACTTACCCCTAATCCTAACCCTGAAATTGTATTAATTTTCCAGTAGACTAGCTTTGTGTTTATATAAGCATTGTTGATATATAAACATTTTTCACGTGGATTGTATCATATTTAAGGGGTTAGATTAGAATGGGGAAGGGGGGTATGTAAGTTGGTGTTGTATTTTATACTTCTTGGTTGTGTTATTTATAGACATGCTTACCCCGAAGTCTAACGAAGAAACAGCACATCGGTACTTATTTGTTTCCTGGATAGATTTCCAGTCACATTTTTACATGTTTTTGTTTTTAACTTGTCCCCGAGAGTTTCTCACGGTATTGACAACACGGCTGGCATGGTGGGGATGAAAACACGATTATGTTCGCTCAGCTCCAATCTTAGCGCGTGAATTTAGGGGGGGGGGGGGATGAGGATGTAGGGGGTGGGGGTGTGACGATGTAGGGAGTGGGGGTGTGACGATGTAGGGAGTGGGGGTGTGACGATGTAGGGGGTGGGTGTGTGACGATGTAGGGGGTGTGACGATGTGTTGGAGGTGTGACGATGTAGGGGGTGGGGGTGTGACGATGTAGTGTAAAAAAAAGAAATTTATTTGGCGTCTTTATGGAGCTTAGAGTTACTAAAATAGTGAAGGTGAGAGTGTGTGGGTGAGGTGTGGGTTTATGTGTGGGTTTATGTGTGGGTTTATGTGTGGGTTTATGTGTGGGTTTATGTGTGGGTTTATGTGTGGGTTTATGTGTGGGTTTATGTGTGGATTTATGTGTGGGTGAGGTGTGAAAGTGTTGTGTGGTCAGCTGTAGGAGGACATAACTGTTACTGTCTCATCAAATTGACGATGCTACTCCATTGGACACAACGTTAACACAAGGCTCAATATTAGGTTGGCAAGTTGAGTGACATTGTTCAGTCACTCTTTAAACAGATTGTACACAACAGCTCTAGCTATCAGCGGAATATGAAGAAGTTAAAAGAAAACAACAACAGCAGGGGATCACATAGAAGAAGTTTCAATGGCAGAAGGCATTAGTTTATAATTATCGCATTCTGTCTGGTTGTATTTGTAGCACGAAGTAAATGGTGAATCACAGCCGGGTCGCCACGTGATTCTGATTTGTTTGTGTATGGTTGAGGGTGGGGGGGGGGGGAATACAGTCAGTGTCAGCCGACACCATTAGTACATTCAGTCGTCACATTCTTCAAAACAGATAGAGGATATATATATATATATATATATATATATATATATATATATATATATATATATATATATATATAGTGACATGTATTGACATATCTTTGTCTAGCATTTATACCACGTGACTTGAGCTCAATGTATAGTTAATTTATTATATATCCTAATCTTTAAAAAAAAAACATAACCTGATGACCAGTACCCTGAGCCCCTAGAGAACTATAGCTTACATTTCTATAATGCTCAAAGATGCCGGACAATGCTGCCGGAAGGTACCATGTAACGGAACTGTACCCTCCCCCCCCCCCCCCCCCCCCACCCCCCCCACTCCCCACTTGAACCAGTGTGACCGCAGGTTAAGAAGAGATGCATATCTCTGCGTCGACACTAAGTACATATATCATAATTACGGCGTGTCAGGGGAAGTCAGCCAACACACCTGCTACACACGCCTGTGCTGGCTGCGATGGTCGTAGGTCTGTTTTTATCTTCCCTGTATGGGTCGGCCGGGCAGAGGACTGGCGTTAGTTTTCTTACCATGGGAAATGGTGACGGTGACCTGATGGGGAAATATGGGCGATTCGTATGTGTTCACGTGAAGGACTTTAATCAGCGGTGTCTCTGTGTAGGAAAATATTGACCGGACTGTGTCATCGGCGTGTTGTTCTAGGCGACGTCTTCACACGGTGAGTAACACAGCTACACACTACACGCTGACCTATATAAGTACTTACCGCTTAGGGCGAAATGTAGGCCTATTGCGACTCGAAATTTGTATGACAAATATTGGATAATAGATATTATTTCGGATGATTAGTTTAAAAAAAAAATATATGCCTAATTTATGACTTTATTAAATTATATTACCATACGAAAATATTGAATATTGAAACTAACGTAAATATATTTTTTAATAAAGAGATACTTTAAAGGGCGATAATCTAATAAAATAAACTAACCTAAAGGGCAACAATCTATTATTTTAATAAAGTGAAGATAATAAAAAAAATAAAACGTTGAAGGGGGTTATATATAAATATTTTTAAAAAGTTATTCTATATTAAAACCCCATCATAAATGGTGGTTACATAAAATAGACCAAAGGGATGTAATCCCACTAGGGGAGAGAACTGTTTTCTAGCTCGTGCCAGTCACCTTCGGTTTGTCGACCTGGTCCCTGTGTTGACAGACACCCTCACTGTTTGCGTGTTGGACGTGTGTCCGGCGCTGTTTGCCTGACGGACGTGTGGCCATCATGGCCCGCTGGCTTCCATCTCTGGGCCAGCACCGCGCGAGCATGGCCATAGACCGGCCCTGGAATTCCAAACTTTTCTAGGTCAAGATCGATGACCAATCGTCCCTGGCATTGATAGTGGTAGGGCAATGAAAACGTTCATTCATAATTTGAAAACAGTCGTAAAAATGGTCTATATGTATTTAATGAGAAGTTTTTCAACGTTAAAATTATCAGAACAAACGAAAATTTGTATTTTTACCTGCCTGAATAATAGACTTCTTACGCTATTACACACGCAAGTAAAAACGTCAAATGTGCTAGTATATATATATATATATATATATATATATATATATATATATATATATATATATATATATATATATATATATATATATATATATATATATATATATATATATATATATTAACTGGGGTATATTTGGTGATTTTTTACGCGCCCTAATTGTCTGACAACCTTACCCCTCCTATCAACCCTACCACTGTCAACACTACATCCCCAATCAACTCTACTTCCCCTGTCAACTCTACCTGACTAGACAAGTCTACTCCCCCTGTCAACACTACCCCATGAGACAACTCTACTCCCCCTGTCAACACTACATCCCCAATCAACTCTACTTCCCCTGTCAACACTACATCCCCAATCAACTCTACTTCCCCTGTCAACACTACATCCCCAATCAACTCTACTTCCCCTGTCAACACTACCCCATGAGACAACTCTACTCCCCCTGTCAACACTACCTGACTAAACAACTCTACTCCCCCTGTCAACACTACCCCATGAGACAACTCTACTTCCCCTGTCAACACTACCCCATGAGACAACTCTACTTCCCCTGTCAACACTACCCCATGAGACAACTCTACTTCCCCTGTCAACTGTACCTGACCAGACAACTCTACTTCCCCTGTCAACACTACCCCATGAGACAACTCTACTTCCCCTGTCAACACTACCCCATCAGGCAACTCTACTTCCCCTGTCAACACTACCCCATGAGACAACTCTACTTCCCCTGTCAACTCTACCTGACCAGACAACTCTACTTCCCCTGTCAACACTACCCCATGAGACAACTCTACTTCCCCTGTCAACTCTACCTGACTAGACAACTCTACTTCCCCTGTCAACTCTACCTGACCAGACAACTCTACTTCCCCTGTCAACACTACCCCATGAGACAACTCTACTTCCCCTGTCAACACTACCCCATGAGACAACTCTACTTCCCCTGTCAACTCTACCTGAACAGACAACTCTACTTCCCCTGTCAACACTACCCCATGAGACAACTCTACTTCCCCTGTCAACACTACCCCATGAGACAACTCTACTTCCCCTGTCAACTCTACCTGACCAGACAACTCTACTTCCCCTGTCAACACTACCCCATGAGACAACTCTACTCCCCCTGTCAACTCTACCTGACTAGACAACTCTACTTCCCCTGTCAACACTACCTCATGAGACAACTCTACTTCCCCTGTCAACACTACCTCATGAGACAACTCTACTTCCCCTATCAACACTACCTCATGAGACAACTCTACTTCCCCTGTCAACACTACCCCATGAGACAACTCTACTTCCCCAGACAACTCTACCTGACCAGACAACTCTACTTCCCCTGGCAACACTACCCCATCAGACAACTCTACTTCCCCTGTCAACACTACCCCATCAGGTAACTCTACCAATTAACACTAGCACACCACTCTGTCAACACTACTTCACTTGTGTGATGGCGCATGAGATAAAATATTTAGCGCAGGTGTACCTCATGTATGTATCTCAGACGATGAGATAACGATGAGGTATGTAGTTTCAGACTCTAAATGCCAAAAGTTAGATTTGCACTGGACTTATTACTTTTAACAACAAATTTAAATTGCTATGGAATATTATCTCTCCAACGGACGGTCTAGTCCATTCTCTGGCCTGTCTCGGTTATATAACTTCCTCTCGTCAAACAACCCAAAGTAAATGCATCCCATTTCTTGCCTATCCTTTGAAACAGGTATTACTTGATAGGATCTTTCTTGCAAGTTTAGTATTAGGGTCTGTCTCTGCTGTCATCTCTCAATTCCCATGATTCTCTTGGCCAACAGCTGTAAGGCCAAATCTTCTTGACGATTATCTGTAAGTCTCACAGACTCTCTTGTAAGTCTTACCATCTTTCTTGGCCATCAGATGTAAGTCTCAGTTTCTCTTGGCCATGAGCAGTAATTCTTTAGTTAATCAGCCATTAGTCTGTCCATACCTGTCCACCTTCTATAGATCCATCTGTCGTGCCGATCTGTCATAAATCTCTACCGTTTAGAGATATGCTGCAACTTGTATGTTGTGCACACACCATGACCCTATTATAATCTTCAAATATTTTGTATTGTCTATCGTTACTGTTTTCGACACAGCTGTGTTCGATCCGTGTCAATATTTACACTGATGACACACATGATGTGTTGTTATGGCATATTCTGGTACGGTCCCCTACCTACACATATGGTGTACACAATATGTTATCATATACTCCGACACAGTACCATGCCACACATATGTATGTCGACCAACGATGCACACATACAATCGAATATCAATCAGTCATCAAGTCATAATCTGGCAGTCACATGGTAAGTCACTCAAGTGTGATCTGGGGTAGACGATACAACTGATTAGATCAGGATTGCCCTGACTGTTTCATCCAATCACAGACGGCGTTACATCTGAAGATAGCTGTTGCTCCATTCACCGGCTAATTTGCTATTTAAGGCAGTTTCCAGCACCTGTTTTATGGTGTCTTCACGTTTCATTAATTCACAGCTAAATTTTGGATTTTCTTGACTCAAACATATAGAGGCTATTTTTGTCTCAGGTAAATAAGAAACATTTTTCACCGAAACACGCATGCGGTTTTTTTTTGGGCGTAATATTTGTGTTCTAATGTTTTTCAAATTTTCAAATTAGAAAAAAATAATTTTTATCTACTGTCGTATTTTTATTTTCGGTCAAAACAATCAACGAAGGTAAACTGTGTTGTAATGTGGACGATTGACATTTTCCATGTGACGTATCCTGTTAACTAGTTCTAATGGCTAGGTCTAATGGCGTCGGTAACAGTCATCATAAAGCTGCTATGTTAATAAAACAATAACCCTGAATGTTATGGTACCATATGTTGCTATAAAGTTGCTTGCTTAAACCATTTCTTTTCATCTCACGACGCTGAATTTCTTGCAAGAGCGTGTTTTGGTTTTACCTGTTAAAACAATCTGGAAATATGGACACAATCTGGCTAATGAACATAATCTGGCTAAAACCATAATCAGGCTAACCGTTACACTAGCCACACATCTACGACAAATGACTTACCCAGTGGGCCAATGTGTAGACTAAACTAACACAACTTGGTTCGAATGTTTGTTTTTTCTTGCTAGAACTCTAAGATGGTTCGATTGATGTGATACTGTCTAGATATTTACTTCATTGTTAGAGTTCTAATATGGGTCTACTGATGTGATATTGTCTTGATAGGTACTTTATAGCATTAGCAGCAACAATATGGAATTTCGTCCCGTTTGTGACCTAAGTCAGTTTTCTTTGTGACTGAAGTCAATTTTCCCCGGGACACAGCTTTTACGAGTCCTAAATATACACGTTTGACAGGACATTCCTATATATATATATATATATATATACGGGTAGTCGGACATTCCTATATATACACATTAGTAGGACAGTCCTATATATACGTTTGATAGCACTGTCCTTTATATACATATTTGGTAGGACCGTCTTATATATACACATGTGACAGGAAAGTCCTATATATACATGTGTGGTAGGACTGTCCTTTATATACGAATTCGGTAGGACCGTCTTATATATACACATGTGGTAGGACTGTCCTTTATATACACATTTGGTAGGACTGTCCTCTCCAACCTATTTTTACAATCGGAACAACAACACAACCCAACAAGTTACTGAAGAGACCACGTGACATACACTTCCATTCGATTGGTCAGTTTTCGAACAAGACAAATGCCCCCTTATTACAAACAACGATGTTAAGAACTCACAGAAAACTTTCAGTGTTTTCCTTGATAGTAAGATATTTACGAAGATTTTTTAGGTTTATATTTTTTAGGCGTCTTAGTTGGTTGGGCAATCAATCGCTGAGAGCAGAAAGGCTTGTTTGTTGTGTTAATTTATTAGAACAATACTTTGATAGTCAGCAGACGTGCTGGAAATAAATGCCACTTGACCTAATTAAGTTTCTCACTTAATTGGAGTCAAGCGCTGACCATGTGACCATCTCATTACAACGGTGTGTGTGTAGATGTTAATTAACACATGTATGTGTGATCGTTAATTAACACATGTATGTGTGATCTTTAATTAATACATGTGTGTGATCGTTAATTAACACATGTATGTGTGATCGTTAATTAATACATGTGTGTGATCGCTTTTAAACACATGAGTGTTTAACACATATGTAATAGACATAACAAATAATATATGTGCAACAGATATTTGTTTTAAAATTAATATACGCATATATGTGTAACAGTTGAAAGACATATTATAATTGTGTTCAATAGTTGATAAATAAATTTATATAATATTACAGTATACATATATATATATACATGTACATATATATATATATATATATATATATATATATATATATATATATATATATATATATATATATATATATATATATATATATATACATGTGTATGCGTGTTCGTCCTTAACACACGAGTATGTCAATGATACATCATGGTCTGTATGTTTTATAGCTACACGATTACCAAGTTTGTTATAGCTACACGATGACCAAGTTTGTCAATGTTGATTTATCATCAGCATGTGCCCTGCAGCTGTATTAAATACTAACATATGGCGCAGAATTTTTTTTTGCCAGTCCATTGTTCCCACTATGAATACACCGATACACCGATTCACGATTGATGTATCCAGTTCATCGTTTGTTCCATCTTTTATCCTTTGTTTAGATATTCTTGAATCAAAACATCCTAAAGCTAAGCATCCTATTCGCACATCTTGATATTAACTGAACCGTGTTGACATCCATCCATACAGATATCTACTCGGTACATCCATACATCTGGTTATCCACTCAATCCATTCATACTTCACTCATACCAAAACATTTACCTCAACCACAATATACAAATTTAACTTTTTAGAAAATACCACCATCTTCATCCAAAAACCACCAATTTAACAACTTTTTTTTTTATTCTACAGGCAGACCAGGCATAAAATGGCACTAGGTAATGCCCGTGTCAGGCCATGCCCATTTGTTATCTGCCCGTTGCCTCGCAGATCTCCCGGGCAGTAAGAGCACTTCCCAAAACTCACTACATTATCCCAACCAGCCCAGAACTTGATCCTAATCAAATCCCACCAATCAACCGTCGATTTTCCCACAACTTCTTTGAGTTCAAAACCCACTTTTCAACGAACGGTACAAAAATTGAAGGAAACCACCTCTCTCTTCCCACTCCAGGATTACGATCTTACGAAAACAGCACAGGTAAGGTTTTTTAACATCCTTTAAAAATCTTGATCTAATTTACATACAAGAACAACAACTCAACCTAGGTTAAAGAACAAAGCCTGTCGAACACGATGTCACGTGGTTACTGTCGTCATCATCTCGTCTGTACGTGTACACCTCTCAGCATACACGTCATCAGTTTTTTTACTTAACTAAGCAATTAATTACACCACTGCGCTAATTTAGCTTTTTTTTTTTAATGAACCGTATTTATTTATTTTGTTTCGTTACCAAACCGGAAAACAAGTTTAAGTTTTAAAGTGGTTTAAATGAGAACAACGCCAATGTTGCCTAGAACAGCCGAAACAGCGGTCAAGTTGCTGTCTCTCTCTGAGTATACTACTTAGCTAAATGCTGTTCATTATTTCGTTGTTTTTTTTTACACAAAAGTTCACATTTTTTGTGTAACTAAAGCAACCCTACCAGTGTTTATATCTGATTGCTTGTCTACTAGCTGAAATATTGTTTGGTGATGCTATCATTCACCACGAGACCCCCCCCTCCCCTTTCCCCCAAGCACCGCTCACCCCCCTAGTACGTCAGTGTAAAGTATATTTATCTACTTGTGTGTAGAGTATAACTGTCTAATTTGTCCAAACGGAACAAGACAGAGTGATAATGTTTCTCGTTTCAAACGCACCGCTGTGATCAAATTTCATCATGACGTCAGAAAACTAATTGTTTTTCTTTCTTTTGCAGGAAGGACTGGCTGTGATGTGGGACATGGATGCATGACATCTAGATGACATTGGCTATATGACACCTGGATGACATTCTTGGATGAGTACATGACATCGGGTCCTCTGAAGACATTTTCACTCGTCTTGCAGATTCTTGTTAATTCACGATTTGTCGTTAAGATGTGTTGATAAAGTGACTGACATTCTAATACGGCAAAGAAGCAAGTGCAATTCATGTGAGAAAAAACATCAGGGGAAGATAATTCAAGATGAAAGAGTTATCGGCCATGAGTGATCTGAGCCTGATCCTGTCTGAAGACATCTTGAGCCCGTTCTCCGACCAGAAGACACTGAGCGAGCTCAACGACTCGCCTGACCTCTGTGAGGAGCTGGACGACTTCGACCCGTCCATCGGCCTCTTCAACTTCAGCGAGGACACCATCATGCACGATTACCTCTTCTCCCGAGGGTCGGGGTTCGGTTCCGTGGACCAGACTCTCGGGTTCTACTCCTACCCCAGCCCAGCTAGCGGTGCCAAAAGTGACGTCAAGAAACTCAAAGACGCTGACCCTCTGCTGGGGTGTATTGTAGACTGTGACAGAGATTTTAAAAACTCGGCGCCGCTGCCGCATCTTGAAGAAGCTTTTGGACATCATATAAACCACAACCTAAACTTTAACCGGAATTCTAGCCAAGGTTCTCCTGCCTTGATTCCTGACAGGTTTTCGTGTAGTTCTAGCGCCGTCGCAGATCCCGTGGGGTACAACAACTTTCTGTACAGCAGCAGCCCTAGCGACAGCGGCTGTTCGAGCCTGAGCGAGAGCAGCGAGACGAGCGAGTGGGACAGTAAGGAGGACAACAAGGACATGGTGGTCCTGGGGGTCGACATCTCCAACCTCATGCACGACTACGCCATGAAATCCCCGCCCCCGCCCGCCACGGTCGCCGTCACCACGAAGAGCAGGTCGTACCCGCCCCGCCCCACCATCAGCTTGACCCACCCCACGACGTTCCTGTACAACCCCGAGAGCGCCCAATCCTGCATGTACGCCAGCACCGGCTCACCTCCCCTGGCTACATCAGAACATATTATCATCTCCCCCGGAACTTCACTCCTGCGGAAATCCAACTTTTTAAATAACAGGATCAAAGTCAACTTAGGCCAGAGACTCCCCCACGGGGCGGGGCACCGCATGACGTCAACAGGGATCGACCCCATGCTCTGTACCTACCAGAACCACCCCGCCTCCCCCGCGGGGAGCGTCAGTTCCCTCTGTTCACTAGACAGCCCGGGCAGCTACCCCACCCCCCTGACGTCATCGACCCCCACGTCCGCCCTGTCCCCCAGCATCTCTGGCCAGGGCAACAAGGCCGAGGAGAAGATCTACCCCTGCACCTACCAGAACTGTAACAAGGTCTACAGCAAGAGCTCCCACCTGAAGGCGCACCTGCGGCGTCACACAGGTGAGAAGCCGTTCCACTGCTCCTGGCCCGACTGCGGCTGGAAGTTTTCCCGCTCAGACGAGCTGGCCAGACACAAGAGGTCACACTCGGGGGTCAAGCCTTACAAGTGTGACGTCTGCACCAAATGTTTCAGCCGCTCTGACCATCTGGCCAAGCATAGGAAAGTTCATCGAAAAAATCGCTAGTCTAGAAACTTTTTTACCGCAGGTCTAGAACACTTTATCAAATTGATTGTCCATTCCGGCGCTTCGGCAGCATATAATTCTATACTCTTGTTGATCTAGTGCCTTATTTAGACAACAGTATCGCAGCATTCCATACGGACGTGTATCATTCCTAGACAAGTATCAACTTTAACTCATGTAACCGCTTATTCGTGTGTTCGAATCCTAAGTATTATTTCAAATATCAAAAAACGATCAAACTTTTAAACAATTGTATTCTTGTTTGACTGAAATGCAAGTGAACAAAACGTCGAAAACATTCCAAACAACAGGATGTGACGACACAATCAGCGAAAGTATGACCTTAAATTTTTTTAGTCGCAGCGTGTTTTTGCCAACTGTGACCAAACTCATCTTGTTGACGTTCCATTACGTGGTTGTGACCTATCGGTTAAACCCGATTCAGCTTTGGATACGCATCTAATTCAGTCGTACTTTCTTCACAAAATACTCCATACCACGGAAGGTCAAATGGACTAACATCGTAAAAATCTATAATTAATAATTTACTAAAATTATAAAGGATTGAATAGTTTAATCTTAACTTTAGTGCGTTAAGTTTAACAAATTTGTAATTTCTGTGCCATGATGTATTTTTTAAAATGTATTCGGTAATCAGCCGGTACTTAGTTTTACCTGAACAATTTAGGTAAGTAATTAGACAGTGTTAAATTAGGCCCCTCCCTGTAGGCTATCATTAGCTTACACACTGTTTCCTCTCACGGGGGAAAAACTTTATAATTATTTTTTTTACACGGGATTAAGTCGGGCTAAACACGGTCTATACCGTCATCCTCTGTTTGTTCGAACTGTGGAGTCATTCGAACTTTGGATAAGTAGCACGTAATTTTAACTAGGAGAGTAGCAAGCACAAAATTTCCTTAAAACCCAAACAATCTTTCGCCAGAGATCTTTTTCCTTCTTAATTGTAATGTTGGACCAGATTTCCTTCAACACATACAAGTATTACTTGTCAACTGGTTATGCGTATTATAGGTCGTTGACTCCGATTTCAGCCTGCTTTTGTTTTTGGATTTGCTTCCATAGCCTTTGTCCAACCAAGAACAAACTACAAGGCAGCAGTTTTTTTTTTATTTTTATATTAACTCTCCTAGATGGGTTGCTGTCCCCAGCTATCGAGCCTCGTCTGCCCGAGGGTTCGAACACCTGACTCTATCGATCCCCAAAAAATAAAAATTAATTAATTACTTATTGTTTAAGCACATAAATCTAAGATTTAGGTCAATGATAGATTCACCATTCACATCGTGATGTATATCGCTCTGAGGTAACATCATGATGTAATATATTTCCGCTGCTATATCGTGATGTATATCGCTCTGAGGTAACATCATGATGTAATATATTTCCGCTGCTATATCGTGATGTATATCGCTCTGAGGTAACATCATGATGTAATATATTTCCGCTGCTATATCGTGATGTATATCGCTCTGAGGTAACATCATGATGTAATATATTTCCGCTGCTATATCGTGATGTATATCGCTCTGAGGTAACATCATGATGTAATATATTTCCGCTGCTATATCGTGATGTATATCGCTCTGAGGTAACATCATGATGTAATATATTTCCGCTGCTATATCGTGATGTATATCGCTCTGAGGTAACATCATGATGTAATATATTTCCGCTGCTATATCGTGATGTATATCGCTCTGAGGTAACATCATGATGTAATATATTTCCGCTGCTATATCGTGATGTATATCGCTCTGAGGTAACATCATGATGTAATATATTTCCGCTGCTATATCGTGATATCTCTGCTGATTACTTTAAACAAAAATCTAGACGCTAAATCTCCAATTATGGTTATAAACTAGCTGAAGATTGAATAATTAGACGTAGTTGCGTTGCAGCCTGAAAATAGCTGGGGGGGGGGGGGAGGGTGGAGAAACTAGGTGAAAGAAAGGTTAGAGGATATATTTCGGTCACGTGATAGGTTTTTCCCGACAGTCTACACAATTTTTCTAGCCATAACTGCGTCAAGTTGTATCACCTCCTTTAACTCAACTGTAGCAAAATGATCACACCCAACACAATTTCATGCATGATTTCCATTGAGTCAATAACAGAGGGAGGGTGAAGGTAGGGGGGGGGATAATAGCGGAGGTAAATCTTGACCTGAGTACAGCCGACCCCTTAAACCCCCGTGAGGGTATGTTTCTATGTTTATGTGTGTCTTGACGTGAGTAGAGCCCACCCCCACCCCCATCCCCCCCCGTGAGGGTATGTTTCTATGTTTAAGTGTAGTCTTGACGTGAGTAGACCCCCCACCCCTTTTGTTTCTATCTTCATTTGAAGAGAGTGGGTCGTGTTCACCCCCCCCCCCCCCTCCTCCCCCTTTCCCCACTAGTCTTTATATGTTCGCCAAAAATATTTCCTTTTTTTTCAATTTTTGGACAAAGGTCGGGGAATGAGCAATAGCGCAGACTAGCGTCTGTTTGTATAACAAACTTTTTCAACTATTTATTTTGTATTATACAACTGATTATTTCCCTTTATTTTTACGTCTCTGTTCTTTTTAAAAATCAACTACAAATTTATCAACACGAGATTAATCTAAGTTTGTGGACAACAATTCTTTTTCAACCCATATATACATTCCATTCCCTGACAACCCCCCCCCCCCCTTTATAATAATGTACATTATATTAATTAATTAATTAATTTAAGCGACAGCCTTTATTTAAACTAATCACCTGTGGATTAAATTGAGATTGTCCGTTCTATGAAATCCCATCTTTACATACTCTGTTCTATATGATTGTTTGTAATTAGCTATGAGCCTGGTACGGATTTTGGAACTAATTCCAGTGTGGAATTAATTAACCTAGTCTGGCCAGTAGCCGTATAAAATAAAACTATAGTCTTTTTTGTTAGAGAGTGTGTTTGCCATATGTTCGTGTATGGTAAAAAGTGTGTTGGTCAGTATGTTCGTATACGACTAAAATTGTTTTGGTCCATATGTCAGTGTCAGCATGTGTGTATGTGTGTTGGTCAGTTTGTCCGTATACGAGCAACAGTCTGTTTGTTAGTCTGCCTACTTGAGATTTTAAAACTGAACATTTGAGATGTTATCATAATGTGATACATTGTTTGATAAGGGAAATAACTTTTTTGCTGGAGTCGCATCTTTCTGAAGTTGCTGATACAGCAAGATTTTTGATAATTACAACTTTATAATTATTAACACTCGGCTTGTATTTTTTTTTATCACAAACAGTACATAAAAATTTATTCTAATTCACTCAAAATATTAAACAGGAACAGATATTCGCTGTGGGACTACAGTATGACAAATGACTGACTTGTTGGATTTATTATATATCAGTAATGTAAATCTGATTAAGTAACCTTAAGTACTCTTTGTTCCATACGGAACATAGATCCTGCATTCCAACCATTCCATTCCATTTTGTCCAATTCCCGACTATTAATTTTGCAATCTCCCTAGACGTCACTATTGGCTTCAGTTCTTCCAAAAGACCTCGACTGTCTTGGGCGCCCTCTCCTCCGCTTTCCCAGCCGGACCTCCCCCTTATTTGCAGTCATAGGCTCCTGTCTCGTCTTTCACACAAACTCTATGTTCATCAGTATTCTTATAATTAACCAATTAGTAGACTTAGTACTCCTGCCAAGTGGAGCAAAGACCTAAACCACATGCAGTACGGACACTAACATTAACCACATGTAGCACTGACTGCTAGATGTGGCATTGACTGTCAGTGATAAACAATGACATTAACCACATTTAGACTTTACTGCTATAGACAGCACTGACACTGACATTAACCACATGTGGCACTGACTGCCAGTGGTTGCACTAACGCCGACTATAGCCACATGTAGTTTTGACTGCCAGTGGTTGCACTAACTATAGCCACATGTAGTTTTGACTGCCAGTGGTTGCACTAACTATAACCACATGTAGTTTTGACTGCCAGTGGTTGCACTAACTATAGCCACATGTAGTTTTGACTGCCAGTGGTTGCACTAACTATAACCACATGTAGTTTTGACTGCCAGTGGTTGCACTAACTATAACCACATGTAGTTTTGACTGCCAGTGGTTGCACTAACTATAACCACACGTAGTTTTGACTGCCAGTGGTTGCACTAACGCCGACTGAAACCACATGTAGCATTGACTGCCAGTAAAGGTCACCTTATTGAAGAGAAACACAGTATTTAAGAATAAAAAAACCCTGTTATTTTATGTCAATAAGTACGTGTGTCTTATCGTTGTGTATAATTAAGATAATTTTATTGTTGATTATTGTGTTTGTTAACACTTTGACTTGTAAAATGATTAAATTTTGATCAAACCAAATTTATAAAAATGAGTTTTGATTTTTTAGTTGCGTTTGTTTATTTGATGGGTATTTGAGATTATTGTAGGTCAATGATCGTTTCGTCATCATCTTTTCTCGTGTTTGTCCACATGAGGCAGATGAAGTAGAGTTCATCTGTTTGAATGACGTAAGTAAATGAAGGATAGTGTGGTCAGCACTATACCCAGCCGCCTTTGTTTCTCTAACGTGAGTTAGTATCCAGTTTTGTATAACTGTTTTTATGGATGAATCAAAAAATTGCTTGCTTCATGGTTTGATGTAGGTTCCCCGTCAGGTTTAACACTAAGGCGGATCTAGGGGGTGCACTAGGTCGTTTAGACGCTCCCCCCATCCCCTCCCCCAACCTAAAAGAAAAAATAATTGAAGAGTTAAGAAGTTAGGCTCATTAAAAATATGTTTTCTTTAATTTTATGACAATTAAAAACTGTGTGGTGACAAAGCTGTTTAGAACATTGGCAAATATATTGGAATGTTAATGTTTTGATATATATGTAGGTAAAGTATACGACAGAAGTTGGTACATGGTGGACGTGTGGATGACATGTGGATGACATGTGGATGACACGTGGATGACATTTGTCTTATTTTTGTGATACAACGGCTAGAGTTGCCCCCCCCCCCTCTTTCACCCCCACCCCTTCTCTCTCTCTCTCTCTCTCTCCCCCCACCCTCCCCGGTGACACCCACCAACTCTGTTGAAGACGTACACAAAGCTGCTGTAGTTTGGTCAGGTTATCTCATGTCAGTGATGTCGCTGGTCCTCCACCACAACATTTCCTACCAGACGTCACAATGTTTGGATTTAAAATGGACGTGTCTAATCCTGCAAGATTTTGTACATGACGTCACAAAGTTTGGATTTAAAATGGACGTGTCAAATCATGCAAGATTTTGTACATGACGTCATTAAGTTTGGGTTTAAAATGACGTGTCAAATCCTGCAAGATTTTGTACATGACGTCATTAAGTTTGGATTTAAAATGGACGTGTCAAATCCTGCAAGATTTTGTAAATGACGTCACGAAGTTTGGATTTAAAACGGACGTGTCAAATCATGCAAGATTTTGTACATGACGTCATTAAGTTTGGGTTTAAAATGACGTGTCAAATCCTGCAAGATTTTGTACATGACGTCATTAAGTTTGAATTTAAAATGGACGTGTCAAATCCCGCAAGATTTTGTACATGACGTCATTAAGTTTGGATTTAAAATGGACGTGTCAAATCCTGCAAGATTTTGTACATGACGTCATTAAGTTTGGATTTAAAATGGACGTGTCAAATCCCGCAAGATTGTGTACATGACGTCATTAAGTTTGGATTTAAAATGGACGTGTCAAATCCTGCAAGATTTTGTACATGACGTCATTAAGTTTGGATTTAAAATGGACGTGTCAAATCCCGCAAGATTGTGTACATGACGTCATTAAGTTTGGATTTAAAATGGACGTGTCAAATCCTGCAAGATTTTGTACATGACGTCATTAAGTTTGGATTTAAAATGGACGTGTCAAATCCCGCAAGATTGTGTACATGACGTCATTAAGTTTGGATTTAAAATGGACGTGTCAAATCCTGCAAGATGTTGCTACTCTGTCACTGAATCACGGTACGGCGTGGTCGGATGGTTAACCCGAAAGTCTCGCCTTCATCTCCAGGGTTCAAATCCATAAGACGTCTCTGAGTCAACTCAGCTCTTACTGGTGCCTGACTCAAGTTAGAGAAAGTAAAATTTGTAAGACATAACGCTGACACCATCCCTTAATATGACGAGATTACAGAACCAGGTAAACTCTACTTCACCTGTCCCAAGGACCATCAAGTTTGAAAGTGTAACTTTTTAATCACTTTATCATGTGAAAAAATACAATTATTTTGTTTCACAATTTCACTGATCGTGTTCTCGTCAAATTTGTTCACCTCTATTTCCTGTGTGAGTTTTTATTTTAACCCCTCGAGTTCCCGTCGAACAAACAAAACAAGCTCATAGTTCAGAGGTCAAACGCGAGGCCGGTGTTCTTGTAAGTACTTCAGCCATTGTAGGGCATAGTTCAAAGGTTGTTCAATCCAAGCTTGCGGCGTGTCCGAACGGCTCTACATCCGCCGTCTGCCGTGTGCAGCGAACCGTGACAGCGCAGACCCACCAATTGTGACAGGTAAACAAAAACACAAATGTTTACCTCTGACTTAAGGTGTTGTGAGTTTTAAGTAACGTAGAGACAAGTGCAGAAATATCAGATGACAAAAATAACAAAAAAAAAACAACAAAAAAAAAACAATTCGTATATACTTAAGAGATAGGTTAACAGACAGGACATAATCTTTATATTATTATGAAGATAGACACATATTTTTAAAGAAATATCCTTTCGATCCTGACGGTCCTTGGAACAGGTGAAGTAGAGTTCAGCTATTTCAGTGATCCCGTCGTATAAAGAGACAGTGTGCTCAGCGTTTTGCCCAGCCGGCAAATTTAAGGACGGCAGTAACTAAACTCAGAGCCTAAGCATTTTAGTGCCGGCTGATTATTAGAAATATAAAACTTCATAATGTATTTATCATTCAATGTAATGAAATCTGTCGATGATTAGCTCTTAAAACTCGCGCTTCAGCATGAAGTGTGGAGGGTGGGGGTGGGAGAGGGGTATGACCAGATAATGAAATGTTAAATTGCTAGTTTGAGCAGGTTCATAAATAAACGAAGTCTAACATTAAGCATTTTGGTTTGAATCACGTGACTAAAAACTACAGGGTTTCAGCCTGACTTGTGTTAGAAGAAAAACGTTCCTGTTCGAATTCTATTGAACGTAGGCCTACTCAACTTGGATCAAATATTAATTCACTTTGTTAATGCATGTTGCTTCATGTTATGTTATCATTAGGAAATAACCTACACAACTGAAAATGTAAGACAATGTTAAACTTTTTTCTTTTTAGTGTCTGTTGTTTATATATATATATATATATATATATATATATATATATATATATATATATATATATATATATATATATATATATATATATATATATATATATATTGAAAGCAAGTGGTCAAGTGCTCGATAGGGCACTTCCCGGCGCCGCAGGCGCGTCAAATTTGGCACGATGGTGCCTTGGGGCGATAGAACACGAGGGCCGGTAACGGTTTGGCAAAAAGTCTACGGAGAGGGGGTCAAAACTGACCTCGACTGACCGGCGCCTTATATGGGCTATATTACGAAAACAAAAATTCCTCCGACGACCCCCCTTGACATTTTGTGAGCTGGTAGGAGAACGCCTTGGGGTGTCACAAAAAACTCGGCATATCTGGGAAAACTTCGTAAAGGGGTCAAAACTGACCAGTTGTATTTCCCTATATAATCTTTGTATTTTATGGGAAAAAACAGGGAAATTTTAACACAATTTTTAGGTTACTTACCGTCTGTACATCATGCTAAGTTTTTGCATACACTACTATAGATGACTAGGCCGTATGGAAAAACTGTTGGTCAGACTCAAAGCCCTCGATGAGGGCTAAAAGATGATCGTGAGTGAAATTATCCTTATATGACATATATATATATATATATATATATATATATATATATATATATATATATATATATATATATATATATATATATATATATATATATATATAAATTGACGAACGATCCCCTTAATATTATGTGACGTCGTAGACCGAACCTGGAGGGTAACAAAAAAACTTTATTCCCGTCGGAAACAGCCATTATAGTCGTTAAATATGTTCATATACCGTAATCTATATATATAATTCACTTCTGGGAGCCGTTAGAAAACAAGCTGCAAGCGCCTCCTTGCAGTCCCCTCTCTTTCTCTCTATCACTATCACTACCACCCCCACCCCACCCCCGCATTGTCTGGTGAGCTGTGTTCACTCTAAATGTTTACAAATCGTAGAGCAGGGTTTCTATTGGGGGCAGATAATTTAGTTCGATTTTAAACTTACAGGAGGTAACTAAGAAATAACTAAGAGGAGGCTGCTTTCACGGGGGGGGGGGGGGGGGTAGGGTCAGGGTTAGGGAAAGGGGGGGGGGGGGTTAGTGTTTTAAAGCAAATATTTTCAGTGGCAGCATTGGTACTGTCGAATTCACAAATTATGAATTACTGAAAAGTAGAAAATAAAACAACTAAATAGCGGCGTATGATACGCTGCGGGTCGGCTCGTTTCTTATATAAGCATAGCAACTGTTTGTTAAAAAAAAAGTAAACAAAGACATACGTCATACGTTCAGTTTTCAAGGGAGGTAACGTTTTTTAAATTAATATTTTTCAAATAATTGTATACTATTTTAAACAGAAACAGAAAATGATGAAGTATAGCATTTGTTTTAGTACAAAATTTAGTTGTTAATTCAGTTACGTATCTTAATTAAATAAATTAATTAATTTCAAAAGCAATGTAATATAAATTATGAGATATACTGTTCATGGAACCTGTGTAGTTCTAATTCCATTTTAGTTATAGATTGCGTACTTTCACAATCTCAACTGTCAACTGACATCCCCATCATTACACACAGACCTGCACAATCAGATAAATAAAAAAGAGGACCCAGTAATGGCCCGTATTGAGGCTTCAAATGAGATAGAAAGGATAACAGCCAACAGCCTAACCATCTACACAGACGGGTCAAAAATAAACGAGAAAGTGGGAGCAGGGTTCCACATCCCCCACCTCAACCACTCCAAAAGCTTTAGGTTGACAGACGGCGCCTCCATTTTCACTGCCGAACTAACGGCCATCCTTATGGCCCTCGAGTACACCCCAACAACCCCACATACCAGCATCAGCATATTATCCGACTCCCTGTCAGCATTACAGGCCATTAAAGGGGGAGAATGCTGCAGGGACGACATTGCAGAAGAAATTCTTCATAAATGCTCCGAGTGGAAACAAAGGGGTCGCTCGGTGCAAATGATCTGGATTCCCTCCCATATCGGCATA